ATGAAAGACCTGAACACTTGTATAACTTTTGTTGATTCTCCAAGTTCATAGAGTTGCCGGAGACAAGCCATTTCGGAAGTGCCACTTCTGCTTTCAAGCTTGTTTTAATCAGGGAGTTCCACCAAACACTGTCCACCCTGGATAACCATTATCATATTTGACACATCAGTGTCACATTCAGCATCACAACAACCGTGAGTCACCTCTGTACAGACCAGCGCTATACCACTTAGAAGAATGTTGGACCAAAACCAATTAAAACCAGGCCCAAGGCCCACAGATTAAAATTACCCACATTTGGCTTGGTAGCATCACTTTCTGTCCACTAGGCCCACTGAGCTCTATATGTTGTTGATGTTGTTAAGTGTCATTGAATTGTAGACGACTCATAGTGACCTTATGAATGAAAGACCTGAACACTTGTATAACTTTTTTCATTTCTCCAGGTTCATAGGGTTTCTGGAGGCAAGTTATTTCGGAAGTGGATGCCACTGCTGCTTCCCAGCAGGACATCGTACTTGGTGAAATTGAGAGTCAATGAGAAACAAAAGACTCTCAGTCAGAAGATAGGCACAGTGGTTACAGTAACGGGCTCAAACACAGCACTGGTTGAGAGGATGGTGTAGGACGAGTGCTTTGTTCTTGTGTGCATAGCGTTCCCACCAGCTTGAGTCAGCTTGACGGCACCAAATGACAACAGGATTCATTTTAAGGAGTTGAAGGAAGAACACAAGATTTGATTCAGGAAGGAGAGTCTCTGGAACAAGTTTTATTAGCTTGTAGCCTCATTTACTTCTCAACTAATCAATAATTCTGTTTTCTTCACTATGTTGAATTAAAAAGATTTTAAGCATATTTCTTTGGCTTTTTAATGCTCTATGAATAACATGGAGTTATCAAGAAATAAAAGACAAAGAATTATGCTAATGATTGAAATATTTAATAATATGTGAAAATAGTCTTAAAATACTAGAAAAATAACTTTATTGAAGTTATATTAGTTTTGGTTGCTTTTTTCAGAGGCCTAGGGTATTAAGAAGAAAAAGATAAATTCAGGAGGGAAATTTATAGAATTGCATTAGAAAAAATTAATAACTGCCTTTATTAATGAATATTCAAATAGCATATTAACTTTAGTGGGTTGTGGGATTTTTTGGTTGAGTATTTTGTTTGTTTGTTTTTTTGTCAAGCCAAAGTATTCAAACGAAGAAAGAAATAGTTGGATAAAGCTCTAGGTGGTTAGAAACTATCTTTCAGAATCCCTCGTTCGGCTCATGGAGAGAAATCTTTTGATCATGTCAGCATGTAATTGTTGCTGTATTCACTGCCTTTCTCCTAAACTTCCCTAAGTCCTGGTGGCCTTCCCATTTACTTCCCAAATCCCACACAGCATTAGAAATTCTGCCTTAAACAGTTCACCATCTCCCTCTTTTTCACTCACTTTCCTCATATCTGTGTTAATGGTTTAGTACATTCCCTGACGCTAACACCTCCCAGGGTGCATTAGAACTGCCCAGATGCAAATTGAGGTCTACTAAGAATTTCTATACTGGGCTTCTCTAAATCCTTCATTAATGTGAGGCGTATATTACAGATACCTTAACTCATATTAAAGATGCCTTAACTCTTATTACAGATGCCTTAACTCAAAAGGATCAGATTTAATTGGGGACTTATCACAATGCTATTGGGCTTAGTAGACTGGAAAAGTTTCATTTACTAGGGCCTCTTATGCTACTAGTGGCCTGAGTTTTTGCCCAATGTCACCATTGAATAATTGTTAGCCTAAAATTCTGTTGAGTACATAAAGACACTAAGTATTTATCGTCTTATTGGTGATACACTGTAGGAGCTTACACTGGGTGTGTACATGACCATGACCATTCACAAAAGACAATGCTGTTGATTGTTTTGTTCATTGATTCTGGAAATTGACTGTGTATATTGACTAACCACTGGTCTTGTTTTCATGCTATTATAAGGACAGGAACTATTTGCTACAAATAGACTTGATTATCAAAAGGTTGCCTAATTGATGTTTAGAAGAGCTAGGCTAAATTTTTTTCCCCTCCCTCTACTTTCTTTGTATATCGGGCCTGGTGTTAATTGTGTTTGGGAAGAAGCATTGTTCTAAATGGGATAGCACTGGTCCGTCAGTTTGCTGTACTGAGATAACTTGGGGTTGCTGTGATCCTGAATGCTGTGCCACTGGTGTGTCAAATGCCATAATGGTTACCTATGGAGGAGAGCATTTGATAGAGGTCCCAGACTGAGATAAGGTGGGAAGCAGGTTCGACATCCACTTCTTAAACAACAGGCCTTTGGAAATGCAATGAATATTAGAGAAACGATAGTTACAGGACAGGGTTCATATCCTTTGTTTATAGGGTTGCTATGAGTCATACTTGACTCGATGACACTTAACAAACAACAACTTTTTAATTAATATTTTATTGTTAATATGTTTTGTTTCATGCATGTACAAGATATTCCATACAATCCTTCATTTATATTACATTTTACTCATTTATAATGTGAACCTTTCCCTCACCTCCTTTGAACAAATAGGGGATTTTCCCCACTTTCACTGAATTTAGACTTCCACTAATTTAGACAAAACAAAACAAACAAACAAAAAGTGCATGGAGGAAAAAAAAAAGAAGTGATATTGCATAGAGAAAATTTCTTTGAGATTTAGCCACAGACAAAATGTAATCTCATTCATCTGGATGTTATACTCCTTTACCATTCCTAACCTTGTTTTGCTTCAAATGTGCATATTGCAACTTATATGACCAAGGTTTGGAGGTTTTTTGGTGGGTTGCTGTTTTGTTGTTGTTGTTGTTGTTGTTGTTGTTGTGTTTTTGTTGTTTTTTTTAACTTTTTGAATTGTCCTCACCATTTAGACTCCAAAAATATATCACATCCTTGACCAATTAAAAAAAAGAATTTACCAAAAAAAAAAAGGTTGAGTAAAATTCAGAGAATCTGTTGCTGCTTTAAAAATAATACTGGGAAATGTCTTGGTAGGAAGAAAAAAAATGAGTTTTTAATTTTATTTTTGGATTTCAATTATTCATGCTACCCTTATGTACCACCATGCTAATTAAGAAGTGACTGTTTGTTCCTTAGTGGTACAACTGATAATCATTGGCTCTGATCTTCAGTTCTCACTTAACCTTGGTTAAAACAGAAAAAGAGCTTGAGTCATTCGCTACCTACTTCCATTGAGCTTGAGTTCAGTGTTTTTGAACTGCTATAGATTATTTGTGCAATATTGTCACTGTTTATTGATGCAAAGGATACCTTCCTCACTGAGCTGCGATCCTTCCACTTAGAGTTCACCACATAATGTACATGGTTGACTATTCTTATTCAGTTCATACATTTTGTAGGGAATTTGGAATTTTAAAAATATAGTACATTTGGGGCTAAATTAGAGAAAGTATTTGCTAATGCTGAGTTTCTCTCTCCTGCTTGACTGCTTGATGATTTTACAAGTATTAAGCTCTCTCCAACTTCTCTCTAGTTGTATGTTACTGTTTTATATCCCAAACTTGGACTGTTTGTGTCCTGCATTCTATTGCATGAATATAGATTGGTGAAACTCCAAGGATTAAGGTAGTTCTTGTTTAGTGGTATTTGAGACAAATCATTCTTCTGCCTATTTCAGAGATTTACTAAGTATTTAAAGGTGACTTTTGAAAATTTACTGTTCTACTATTCTTAGCAGAAGAAATCTTTGAAGCTAAGCCATATTTCAAGAGTAGCTAATTATATTCTATTGTTAAAAAAATCAGGATTTTTGTGAGGGCTGGGTTTTGTTTTGAAGTCTCTTGGTAAGTGAATTGAAATATGTCATGGTAAGAATGTTTACACCGTTGAATCTGGCAAATCTGTCTCTTATTTTCCCTTAGCATGTAGGTAGTTAAATATTTACCAGTTCACTTGTGTTCCAAGGCATTTCTTCAAATATAGAACTGAGCCTCTGGTGTGTAGGGAGTTGCACCAATAAATCAAAGGTTTCACCTTTTTGGTAGTTTAAAGCCACCAGCAGCTCCAGAACAAAATAAACTCTTCCATAGGAAAGTCAGCTGTCAGAGACCTCTCCAAAGTACTGAAGAGCAACGATGTCAGTCTGGAGACTAAGGTGTGCCTGACACAGGGCATACTCTGTGTAATTACTTGCTATGCATCAGAAAGCTGGACAATGACTATGAATGATAGAAAGAAAATTGATGTTTTTGAGCTCTGGTGCTAGAAAAGAGTATTGAATATACCATGGACTTCTGGGAGAATAAACAGGTTTGTTGTTGAGAGGGTGAAACCAGGCTGCTCCTTGGAGGCAAGGATTCTGAGGCTTCATCTGACATACCTTGAGCATGTTGCAAGGAGGGACCAGTCCTTGGAGAGGGACGTCATGCTGGGAAGCATGGAGGGACATAACAAAAGAGGAAGACCCTTGATGAGATGGATTGATTCAGTGACTGGGATATTAAGTGTAGATGTGTCAGAGACAATAAGGTTGGCACAGGAAAGAACAGGTTTCAGGGCTATTGTACAAAGGGTCGCTATGAGTCACAAGCAACTTGACAGCACATAACAACAACAGTGTGCAATTTAAGGGAGCTCTGGTAGCCTAGTGGCAAGAAGCGGCACTGCAGTCCCAAAGGCTCGCAGTTCAAGGCCATCAACTGCTCCATGTGGGAAGGAGGAGCAATCTCCTCCAGTGTGACAGACTCTGCAAACCTGCTGGAGGGTCAAATATGTGTCGGTTCTGACTGTCCAATAAACAACAACAACAACATGCAATTTAAAGCCTCAGAAAGCCTATGCATAGGTCAACTACGAGTTGTTTGCAACTCAATGTCTATGAAAGCAAAAAATGACTGCAAATACCAGTTTTATTGAAACATAGGAATGTTAGCATTGAAGATGGTACTCATATGAATATTACATGAGAAAAAAAATAAATTCATTTGTTGCCCCTGTATCCTCAGGGATTCGGAAAGACCGAAGAGGAGGGAGAATGTTGAAACACAAACGCCAGAGAGAAGACGGGGAAGGCCGGAGTGAAGCTGGACCTTCTGGAGACATGAGAACTGCCAACATTTGGCCAAGCCCCCTCTTGATTAAGCACAGCAAGAAGAACAGTCCAGCCTTGTCCTTGACGGCCGAACAGATGGTCAGTGCCTTGTTGGAGGCAGAGCCTCCCATCATCTATTCCGAGTACGATCCTACCCGACCCTTGAGTGAGGCGTCTATGATGGGCTTGCTGACCAACCTGGCGGACAGGGAGCTGGTTCACATGATCAACTGGGCTAAGAGGGTGCCAGGTAAGAACGTTCAGCTGTCCCTTTTGAGAGTCAAACATGTTCCAGGAGTTGATTAGGGCGTCAAGATCCAACTCATGGCAAGCAATACCTTTCTATCAAATGAACTTTAAGGTAACACTGCAATTGGTTAATTTTGCAGTAACAGCATATTGTCCTACTTCAGGAAATGACTCTTTTTTTTGAGCTAAAGTGTTTTTGTTTTGGTGTTCTTAAATTTATTTTTTTTATTTTATGTTGGTTTGCCAACAAAGTTAGTAAACATTGTGTTTTACGCTATTCTTCATTTATATTGTGTTATATTTGGTACAATCGTTTCCATGCATTGTTGTTGTTGTTGTTATGTGCTGTCAAGTCACTTGCGACTCATAGTGACCCTATGTACAACAGCCCTAAGCTCTGCTCTGTCCTGTGCCAATCGCACTGTCTCTGACATTCCCATCCCGATTACCCCAGTCACTGAATCAATCCACCTCACAGAGGGCCTTCCCCTCCTGTGCTGTCCCTCCACCCTACCAAGCATGATGTCCCTCTCCAAGGACCAGTCCCTCCTTACAACATGTCCAAGGAATGTTAGACGGAGCCTCAGAATCCTTGTCTCCAAGGAGTCGCTCGGTTTAACCCTTTCCAGGATGAATCTGTTTGTTTTCCTAGCAGTCTATGGTACTCTCAATGCTCTTCTCCAGCACCACAGCTTAAAGGCATCAATTCTCCTTCTATCCTCCTTAGTCATTGTCCAACTCTCTGAGGCATAACAAGTGATTGTAAAGACCATGGCCTGTATCAGATGCACCTTAGTCTCCAGAGTGACACCATTGCTCTTCAGTACTTTGGAGAGGTCCCTAACAGCAGACTTTCCCATGACAACAAGTCTTTTCATTTCCTGGCTACTGGTGCATTATACTTTATAAAATCAATCACCTTTGAATCTTCCCCATTATTACTGAATCTTTTCAGGTCCCTGCCAGATCCTTCCCATTTCCTTCATCCTCTCCCTATTTCTTTTTTTTAAATGTGATTTTAATGAAAGTTTACAGAAAATTTGGATTTTCCATTCATTCATTGCTGCACATTTTCCTCCCTACCCCCTCCCCAGTTCACTTTAAAAAAAAATATTCATTCATTGTTACATCATTTCCTCTTATTCTGGACTGCTGTCATACAAATAATGCCTAATCGTATCTTCCTTTTAAACAGTTATTTCCTTCATCTGTTCTGATGCAGTATTCATTCCTTTCCCCTTTTTCTTAGTTACCCCAAACCCTCCGTCACTCCTGTTTATTAACAGTGGCATTATACAGTATTAGTCCTTTTGTGACTGAGATTTTTTACTCGGCATAATATCCTCCAGCATCACCCACATTGTGTAATATTTTATGAATTCCCTGTTTTCCAGTGCTGTGTAGTAGTAGTCCATGGTGTGAATAAACCATAGTTTTTCTATCCATTCATTTTTTATGGGCACTTGAGCTACTTTCATTTCTTTGTTACTATGAATAACACAGCAAGAGATATGGGTGTGCATATATCTGTTTGAGTGGCAGCTCTGATTTCTTTAGGGTATATTCCTAGTAGTGAAATTGCTGAATCAAATGATATTTTTATCTCCAGCTTTTTGAGGAAGCATCATACCACCTTCCATAGTGGTTACACCATTTTACACTCCCACAAGCAATGAATAAGAGTTCCAATCTCTCCACAACCTCACCAGCATTTATTGTTTGCTTCTCTGTCGAACTTTGCTCTTGTTACTGGAGTGAGATGATATCTCATAGTTCTTTTGGAAATGATTCTTTTTAAAAATAAAAATTCTCCATGAAATGAAAATCCTTAACACAACTTAGTTCTTTTTTATCCCATTTTGTTCACCAAACAGATTTGAAATGGACAATAAATGGATTTAATATTCTATATATTCACAGAGTCAGAAATTTTAACTACTCAGAAGATCTCTATTTCACAAAGATTTTTAGTATATTCCACTTTTTCAATAAATATATTTTTAAGTAATTTTGCTATATGAAATGCTTTTTCTACAGATGAGATCATTATTAGTTTCTTTTTTAATAGCATTTATTTTAGAAGAAAAGGAACTATAATAATAAATATAAATTACATTCTTTGTCCTCTCAAGAGCAGGAGAAAAGATAGCTAGAGTGGCCGAAATGACTTTGGTACTTCAGTTCTGTGTCTCAGCATGGCTACTTGTGCAAAAATGGACTTGTTCTTGTTGTCCTGGAAGAAAAACTCTAGTTATTTTGGAAACAAGACTAGGAAATTACTTCCTATATGACTCAACTTAGCCATTCCTACTTGTTGTTGTCACTGATTGTCATCGAGTCATGGATGACTCATAGTGACCCTATGAACAAACAATCTAAATCCTTTCTATAACCTTCGTCATTTCTCAAAGTTCATAGAGTTTCCAGAGGCATGTTGTTTAGGAAGTGGATGCCATTCCTTCCAAACCTGTCTTTAACTGAGAGCTCCACCAAACACTGTTCATCATGGGTAACCCATATGGCATTTGACACCCCAATGGCACAAGGTTCAGCATCACATCAATGCCAGGTTACCTCAGTACAGCAAATTGACAGAAGAATGCTGTACCACTTAGAAGAATGTCCCACCAAAATATAATAACAACCAACTTTTATATACAAAGGCCTTCCACTGAGGTCTTGTTGACTTTAAACAAGAGCCTTAAAAAAAACCCAACAATACAACACATCACAGAATGATTTACAAATTTTTACAGGGGATGTGCTAATCTTCTCTGTATTGTTCCAATTTTAGCGTATGTGCCGAAATTTTTCTTTTGGTTAAGTATTTATGTTTGCAAACAGGTTAATCATAGAGAATTTTCTCTAACAGACTTTTCTCCAGAATGGCACCTTACACTCTCACTTTTGAGTGATGATCTAAAACGAAACGATAATGTAGATAAACCAAGGCATTATGGAGTTGAACTTTTGTGTTGGACTTGCCATTGTTGTTATTAGTTTCTCTTGAGTCAGTTCCGGTGTACAATGGACACATTGTCTGGCCCTGTGCCGTCTTCCCAATTGCTTTTAGGAGTGGGCCCAGTCTTGCAGCCATAGTGCCTGTCCATTTTGTTGAAGGTTTTTCTCCTTTCTTGGCGACCTTCCACTTTACCAAGACTGATGTCCTTTTCCAAGGAGTGTTTCTTTCTAATGACATTTTTAACTATTTGAGGTGAAATTACTAGCCATCTTTACCTCTAAAGATCATTTGGACTGCAATTTTCCAGATAGATTTATTTGGTGTTTGGTTTGGTTTTTTGTTTGTTTTGTTTTGTTTTTGGTAGCCCATAGTATATTCTATATTATCATCTACAGCATCAGTTCTTATTTTAGTCTTCCTTACAAGTTTATGTATTTTTATTTGTTTTCATTGATAAAATGAATTACCTAAAAAGCACGGTATATTTTTCAATTACTTGAGTGTGGAGTTTAGTCCTGTTCTTTAACGGCTTTCTAGTATGTTCCAAGTCAAATGAAAGCTTGTCTTGGACACTACGGCATTTTTTTTGTTTATGAACTCAGGTCAGTCATTTCATAAGGAGCTGACATTGTCTTGAGCTGCACTTGATAGTACTTATTTACATAGGAGAGACCCGATTTTATGAAGCATGGGAATGAATAGGGGATTTTGTACTTCTTGGAATCCAATGCAAAACCAAAACTTTCTTGGTTGTCTTTGGGACTTATTATGTTGTACACCTTCATATTTTATTTTATATATTATTTTTATTTTATTTTATATGTATAGATTATTTTAATACCTTTATATTATATTCTCGTCTATATAGATCCAGGACAAGCCACACTGGAGTGCAAGGGTAATGTGGCTAACAATTTGAGTTTTGCCTTTATATGTATGTTGCCTTTTGAGTACCGTGGGGAAAGAAACAAAGCAAAAGAACTCATGGCCTTATCCATGAGAGTCAATACTTGATTGCTGTGAAGTTGTATTTTTCCCTGTGAAGTCTTCCCTGAGTTAATTCCAGAGAACAGCTGAAGTCATATATGTGAATATAATTTTTACTCACCGTGAGATTCTAATCATATTTTATACTTATATGAATTTGCAGAACATTTGAATTAGCAGGAGTTAAATGCAATTATATGACCAGTATGTACAGAATTTATTGCAGTAAACTTTATATTAGGGAGGGGAGAATTAAATAATAAAGAGAAGGGAAATATTGTTCCCATGCTTAACTATTCTCATTGTTGGACCCAGAACTAAACAAATTTTATGGTAATGAGATGTGTAATAAAGCCATTCTATAATTTGCTTATGTTAATTTTAAAGACTTTAATATCCCAGAATCCTCAGGCCAAAATTATATCTTCTTACTTGACGATTTTTTAAACAAGAATTATAAATGCAAAAATGAAAAAGCTGTGTATACAACTAGATTACAGCTGTTACAGATCAAAAGCTTATTTACTCCAAAAAATATGAAATAAAAATAGCCTTTGATTTAAAAAAAAAGATTACAAATGAGGAAATAGAAATGTCTTATGGAAAAACTATGAAGATAATTTGCAAGCTTTTCAGGAAAGTTGACAAAAGCCTCATCTTGAAAACCTTTTATATAGCCAAATTTCATCTGCTATTAAAAAAAAGAAAAAAGCTTACAATGAAAATCTAACACAAGCAATGTTGAGTTTATGTTGTAATAGGTAAATAATAACAGTATTCAGGATTTAGAAAGAGCAGGGATACGAAATACCATTCGTAGGAAGAGTATCAAGAATGCCAGTTTTAATGATTTTCTTTGTTACCTTCAGGTTGGCTCCAATTCATCTTGGCAGTAGGTGTGACATAGCCACTTGCTACTTGACCATATATCATCCTCAAGATAGCTGTTGTTTGAATCCGTTGTTACAGTGTTGTTGTTGTAGGTACCATCAAGTTGAGCACAACACATAGTGACCTTATGAACAATTCTGAATTCTGTCCTGTCTTGTGCC